CTGCAAAATCAGAAGTCAAACTCATGTCAGCTGAAGTCACATTTCATATGCCAAATTAAATTAGTGACTGTGTTGTCCCTGAGTAAGTAGCCTCAGAAACCTAGAATCATCTTTGCCATGAGCACCACTCTAGGCCTAATAAAAAATTTGCATTCAAATTGTTAACAAATCAGAATCTGCGTTTTTAGCAAAACTGTAAACTGTTAGCATTTAGTATTAACAGAGTGGTTTTGGATAGTGCACGAAATTTCATTCTCCTCCCTAGCAAATTAGGAATAAAATTATTTAACTTAAAATATAAAGGATAAATGAGATGATATAAATGAAAGACATTAAAAAATTTCAATATGTTTAAATTAAACACACTTGTCCTATCAAATTAAATAGATATGAAAATATATACTTTCCTTTTATTGTTTAGAGTATTTAATAAGTAGGGATAATTTTTCCTTATGGGAGGGGTTGCCTCAAGATACAATTTTGTCATTTTTTTGTTCTGTCCTTGTGTTGGTTACAACTCATGGTGACTCCATGTACATCAGGACAAAATACTGCCTGTCACCTAGTCCTGATCATCTTCATTGTTAAGGCATATGTTCAAGTCTGTTGCTGTGACCACCAAGTATTTCCAACCTAGCTGCTAATCATCTGGCACTATATTTGACAGTATTCTGTTGGTATTAAAAAAGCTTTTCATTAGTTAATTTTTGGAAATAAATCACCAAGCCTTTCTTTCTAGTCTTAGTCTGGAAGCTTCACTAAAATCTTAGCATCATGGTGGCCATTCTGCAGTTGTTACGTGCCAATGACTCAGCTGACCCTCCAAAGGGTTAACAGAGACTGTAAATGACCCGAGAGAAGACTGGACATCTTTTCTCCTCAGATCAACTGTTGGATTCAAACTGCTTGCCTTTGGATTGGCATTGACATTCTTATCCACTAGGTTATCATAGTTCCCTGGTGACTGTACTAATATTTGAAATAGCTTAGCTTCCAGAATCACAGCAGCACATGAGTTGACACTGTACAGCAAACTGAGAGGATACAGTTCTAATCATTGTTTAAATTATGTGGAAATATTGGAAAAAGTATGGGTGTCCAGAATACGTAAGAGCTTTTTGATACCCCATATATAGTACCATACTTGTTTCACTTACTTCTGCTAATATTTTTTTGTGTGCCAAGATAAACCTACTGTTGTTATGTGCCATCAAATCACCTGCAACTCATAGTGACCTAAACACTGCTGTTTCCTGTGCCTATCTTATTGTCTCTGACACATCTACCCCAATTACTTCAGTGACTGAATCAATCCATCTCATCAACGATCTTCCTCTTCTGCGCTGTCCCTTCACCCTCCCAAGCATGATGTCCCTCTCCAAGGACGGGTCCCTCCTTTTAACATGTTCAAAATGTGTCAGGTGAATCCTTGTTTCCCAGGAGCAGCCTGGTTTAACCCTCTCTAGGATTAATCTGTTCATTCTCTCAGCAGTCTTTGTTATATTCAATACTCTTCTCCAGCACCACAGCTCAAAGGCATCAATTTTCTTTCTATCATCCCTAGTCACTGTCCAGCTCTCGGATGTATCGTAAGTTCTTGCTAAGACCACAGTCTGTCCTGTACATTTAGAATTTTAAAAAGTGTTTCATCAGTGATTGAATTTTGCTACTGAGCATGAAGAAAATATGCTGTATTGATAAATGGTGTCTGAATACACAACTGGCATAGTATATAACAAGTTGTGCTGCTAAGACAAAGGCTTCTTGGCTCCAGTGGAGAAGAGAAATAGTCTTCTCCCATAGAGACTTACAGTCTAGGAAACCTGATGGCAGGAGGGTCATTAATTGGTGGCAGTGAGTTTTGAGTTTGAGGTCTTTAAGAGTAATTATCAGTTCAAGCATTGGGTGAAGCTGATGTCATGGGCCCTTGTAAAGTGTTAAAGAGTTAGGACATAATTATAAAGACTATTGTGCACCAGATCCATCCCTCAATATTGTCAGTTGCTTAGTATGCATCTGAAAGTTCGACACTGAATAAGCAAGACTACAGAAGAATCTATGCCTTTGCATTGCAGTACTGGATAAGAGTATTAAATATGCCAATGCCCAAAGAACAAACAAATATGTCTTGCTGGTGCAGTCAGGGTGCTCTTAAGAGGCAAAGATGGTGAAACGTCATCTCACAGAGTTTGAATGTGTTGTCAAGAGGCACCATTTCTTGGAAAAAGATACCAGGCTGGAAACTGTAAAGGTTAGCAAAAGAGAAGACCCTCAGGGAGATGGATTAATAGAGTGACCACAACAATGGGCTTGAGCAGGATAAAGATTGTGAGGAGGGCACAGAATAGAGCAAGGTTCAGACCTGCTACACACAGGGTTGCTATGAATCATCGTCAGCTCAAGGGCACCTAACAGCAACAGCATTCATTTAAGGGTTCCTTAAGTGCCGTAATTTGTTTCAGGCAAGTATGGTAACAATTCTTGTAATTTTTTTTACATGATTTCTACCCTACGTGATTCCCTTGCTTCATTAGTCTGTTCATGATTTTACTCCAGATATTTCCTCTGGTGAGAGGGCTCTCCATCTACCAATACCCTTCTCCACCTAATTCCATTGGTCTAACATCAATTATAGAAGGGTAAGTGTCAATAAAAAAAAAAAAGGTAAGTGTCTTATAAAGACCAAAAAAGGACATTCACATCCTAAAACTGTTTCTCTCCCAGGCTCAGTTATTCAACTTGTCTCATTTTACCCATAAGGATTTGTAATTGTATTTGTGTCTCTAGTTCCAAGTAGCTTGCAAGACGTTTTAAGGAACATTCACAGAATCTAGTGCAATTCTTGGCATTCAATGAGTATTTCTGGAATGAATAAATCAATAGTAACAGTTATCCTGGTTCGGGTATTCACTTACACTGTTATCCCCAGAATCTACGTAGGAAAGACAATGACACTTTATTTTCATTAAAATGAATATAATTATTTCACTCTAGATATAATGTTTTTATGTTGGATTTCTACTGTTTTGTATTATCTCAGGTACATCTAGTAGGGAATTAGCAATCTTGCTTCCTGGTGATTAAGATCTCTAGAGAGTTGGAATAACAAGACTGCTTAGAGAAGTAAATTTTATGTCATAATCATAGCTTCACAGACTTTTTTTATTGTGGTGGCTTTTACCAATAACTTTCCAGACTTCCGCAACCCAGAATAGCTCTAATTGTGCCAGATCTAATGAAGTGACTGCTATAACTTTTAAAAATACAGATATTTTGAAAAGCTCCTCTAAGATACAAATCCCAACTAGCTTGACTCTCATATCCATAAAAAGGTAGCTCCAAGAGCCCCCTCACCACTTTACTTGATCTCTTTTATAGATGAATACTACTGATACTAGAGTGTTTTAGAGTAATCTAGCTCAGTTTTTATTAGTGACATATATGTGAATACTTATTTATCATAGTAAGAAAAAGGTATCTCCTGTATAATTTTCTTTATTATTCATTATGGAATATAATTTGATGATGATGGAATTTAATAATGGGAAATGATTCTAGTTAGTTCAGATTTTTTTTCCTTAAACTGTCTACTCATCATATTAATTATATAATTTGATCAGTTTAAGGAATATTCTTGCATAATTCTCTGTTTACAGTCATGCCTCTAAGATTTGATTCCTGGGTCCTGAATGAAAATCTACTCCCACTATTAGTTTCAATGAAGTCCAAGAGTTTTGACCTTGAAAATGTGGTTCAAGGCCAATCTGCTCTGTCAGCATTTGCTGACTTGCATCTTGGATGATGTTTGTGATTCATGTCAGATGCATGAATAATTAATTCACTGATGCTGCATCTCTTTACATGATCCTGTATCTTTATACATAGAATAAAAGTCTTACCTGACCACTTGAAATTCTGTTAAGAAAAAAAATATATCAGGTGTTTTTTAAAAATCAGATATTAATACGTCTTCAAATTAAAATAAGTCTTGGAAATATAATAAAGGAAGCATTTGAGAATATGATAATTTGTTGGCAAGTACCAGGCATAGGCTAAAATATCAGCCATAAATTGACATTTCTGCAAAGTGTGCTGTATATTAATTATCTAAAGAAGCTTAAAATTTCTGAGAAATGTGTACTGTTCTCTATTATTTAACTGAGTTTATTGCTTTTCTTTACTTCTTTCTCTTTTCTTTTCTCCTTCTTTTTCTTCTCTCCCACCTTCTTAGTGGTTATAAGAAATATATGTGAACAAAACAATTAGGCATTTTTCTTGCAAATGTTGAATATTCAAGAAATCCCTGGTGCCTTGAATAGCACAAACATAAGTGAAGTACGTTGCAATCTCCATTCCCTACCACACTGTCAGAGATAGCATCTGTGTGTAAGGTACAACGTGGGAAATCAGCAGTCACTTTTCAATTTTTAATAAAGCGTTCGTCCCTTGTGCACCACTCACCCCCACCCCCCACCCCGCAAACCCTGGGAGAGGATGACATCGTCCTCCTTGGTTTCCATAGCATCCATTCTTGAAGAGCCCCAGAATGATCCTTGGTCAGGGCGGTCCGCCCCCCTCCCCTAGAAAGTTGGCAACCTCATCAGCCAAAACCTCCTTCCCCTTTGAAACTTACTGCTGTCCATGGTGCTGAACCATTCTGCGGAGACCCGCCCAGAAGGGCGCTGTCAGCGGTGCTGAAAAAAAAAAAAATTCTTCCAGCCGCCGCCAAAACCAGAACAGTGTTATCTGCTATTTACTCACATCTTCAAAGATCAACAAGCTTTCTCCATCTTAATTTGGCCGCACCGGAGAACGGAGTTGCCCGGCGTGAAGGAGACCACGGACAGGGAGGAAAAACTAACGGCGGCGTTGCTCACCTGAGACCCGAAGCGCTCCCATGAGTTTTGGAAGTGCTTTGCTCCTTAGAGCTAAGACACCATTTTAAAAGTACTCTTCTTGTGACCCTTACACAAGGGCTCTTTGATACGTCTGCCCTTCCTTTTAAGAGCCAGCAGATTCTGACAGCAATAAGCCCTTTACGACGGAATTGACATTGTTTTCCCGCGGACTGACTTCCAGGACTAGGACTGGTCCTGCGTGCGCCCTTTGCCACCGGATCCTCCCCTTCCAATGAGACTTTCTGATTGTGTCTACCAACTCTCCTATTAGGAAACCCGTGGGCTGTATGCAGCTATTCTCTTGTATTCTCGTTCTCTCCTCACTCTCCCTCCCTCTCTTGCCCGCACTCTTACTGGAGGCATACCAATATCATTTCACTGAGGAGGAAAAGCCAACAACTACCTTAAGCGCTTAAGACAATATGCGAAACCCTTGCCTTTCATAGCCATAACTACTTAAGTCTGGCAGCCGCCCTACACCAGCCTGGACAAGAATGGAGTCTGTAAAACAAAGGATTTTGACCCCTGGAAAAGAAGGGCTAAAGAATTTTGCTGGGAAATCCCTCGGCCAGATCTACAGGTAAGAGAAAGCAAACCCCACGCCTGCCTGGGGTTCAGCATGAGGAAAGCTGCAGAGCCATTTCAGTAAAACCTGGTTGCTTAGAGAGCTTGTAATATGATCAGAAAGTCTTTTGTTGGTTCTTGCTGAGTGGGGCTACTCTGGAAACCTGTTTATTAATTCAGGAATGTTGCACTAAACGAACCTGTCTGCTGTGTGGACTTGTGTGAGTTTTATTTTCATGCCTGCAGGTTCTCAGCCATTTCAACCCTGCACTTATTCCACTTACAATTGATTGAAAGCCAGCCAATAGTTTGTCCAAAAAGCCCTTCTTCTTGTGTTTAAAGCTACCCAGAATTAAACTGATGGATGCAATGCATCAATTATTTTGATGCAGATAAATGAAGACAGAAATTTTTAAAAACTTCAGAAAATTAATTCGGAAAAGCCAAAGAGTAATGACCATGAGACATTTAGATCTCAGCTTAAAAAATCACTCAGAGAATCACCTAGTGGACTCTTCCTTCTGTGCTAAAGGAAGAAAAATAAAAATATATCAGTAATTGATAGCTGAAGCAAGTCCTCTCTTTGAATCTGAAACAATGTGTATGCCTTTTCGTTATTTGTCCTCCCCTGGAAATCTTTTTCTTGCATGAAAAATATCACAGTGGTTGTAAGCACAATTACCACCAAAATATCTTTTCACTTACTAGAAGACGGGTTTTAAAGAGACATATTCTTTCTATCGCTACTAATCGTACTGTAAATGCATTGACTTTAAAATCTCCCACCTGTGTGACGTGAACACCCTTTGCCTTTAGAAAGTGAAAAACATCAAAAAGAGAGGGTAAAAAGGACAGAATGATTGCAGGAGGACGCTAATTTTCACATTTGGACAGCTAAGATCTTTCGTAATCTGTAGGAGATGGAAAGAAATTGGCAAAAGCGCCTCCCTGTTTTCCAAGCCCTTTTTGGTGGCGGTGGGCTTCAAGCAGGCGCGATCATTTCTCTATGCGGCAGTAGGTACCGCATCGGCCCTGCAGTCCAGCAGCGGCCCCGCAAACACTGTTCCCTCCCAGCCAGCTCCCACCTGGTGTGGAGTTTGGCTTTGTATGTGTGTTCATAAGAAATCAGTGTCAAGAAGAAGAAGAAAAATCACATTAGTTGATCTTTTCCCTTTCGGAATAAATGACATTTTCTAGCATCGGAGTTGGGGTTTAAGAATAAATATGAAATTAGGCCCAAATGTATTTATGAGCTGTTCTTGCCCGGGAGATATTTTAGAGGATCTGAAACTGGGACCTTCTTTCTTGGTAGCCGCAAATGCCTTGACCGCAGCAATAGCCCAAACGCTACATTCTTGGAATCCGCTTAAATATTTAATTTGCTTTTGTGTACGAAAATAATTGAGTGTGCATATATCATTTGAAAAGACACATATACAAATAAATACATTGTATAGTTGGGCGAAACCTGCAAATTATTAACGGAAAGGTTCTTTGTTATATTTAAACAAAGTATAAATCCCAAATATCCACGGAAAGGTTGGCTTTCACAATATTCCTGGTTGTTGCTTTTAGCTGTTGGGGTTTTTTTTCTCTTTTGGGGGGTTTGTGTGTGTGTTTAATTTCCTAGGTGTATTGTGGACTAGAATACCTCCACCACATTTAAGTAAAACCATCCCTTCGCTCCTCTCCCCTCTCCCTCCCTGCAAGGACGAAAGCGCTACCCTTAAGGGAATTAAATCTTTTGGTAGAAATCCTTAGAAACATTACGCAAAATTTTAAAATCATAACCGTGAGAGCTCCCACTTCTAAGTGGAGCACTGTGCAGAGTTAATTGGGGTGTGTTTGTGTGTCTGCAAGCCACACTTTATGGTTTTGGACATGGGCCCGACATTTTTCGCGTTTGTAACCGAGATAGTAATGACGCAAGATTGTGAATAATTAATTATTCATGTTCTGGCAGTAGGAAGCTTAGGTGTCGGCCATATGTTGCGGAGGCCTTTGTTTCAAACTAGAGTTGGGGCTTTTATTTGCTTTTTTTTTAAAAAAAAAATCAAGATTTGTAGAGTAAGCACTGGCTTGGCACCTGGGGCTGGAGGAGGGAGAAGGAGAGGGTGAGACACTCACTGGGCATTCGGAGCCTGGGAGGCCTCAATCCCCGGGGGGCCTGGGCTCTGCATGGAGGCGGGATCCTGGCTGGCATCCGGAAAGCTTACCTTGGCCAGAGAGGAAGGGGTGGCTCTGGCCGAGGCTTGCAGAGGGGCCGCCCGTGCCCCGTGCGAGGTGGGGGGCTGGAGCCGCGGCGGGGTACAGCCCTGCAGACAGACTCGCCCTCACGTAACCTCATTTTGATTAACGGAAACCCCCTACCCCAAAGTTAGGCCCTCGAAGCTGAAGTATGCAAATCGAGGCTTCTGGAGGGACCCTAAAGGAATGGGCAGGTCTTGGGCCTGAAGACTGTGGAATGAACAGGTCCTGGGCGAGGGGAGGGGACGGGCAGAATGCCCCAGCACCTTGGAGGGTCCTGAAACCTGGCGTGATTCCACCCTAATCTCCGAGAGAGGAGGGAGCAGGTCAGGATGGTCCCCACCACGCACCTGCTGGGCCTTTGAAAGCTCAAAACCGCCATGGTGGGTGGCTGACCTGTGGTGCCCTCCTCTCCCCCCCAACCCCCACCGCACAGGGTGCTGGAGAAGAAGCAGGACACTAGCGAGACGATCGAGCTGACGGAGGATGGGAAGGCCCTGGAAGTGCCCGAGAAGAAGGCGCCGCTGTGCGACTGCACGTGCTTCGGCCTGCCCCGACGCTACATCATCGCCATCATGAGCGGCCTGGGCTTCTGCATCTCCTTCGGCATCCGCTGCAATCTGGGCGTGGCCATCGTGGACATGGTCAACAACAGCACCATCCACCGCGGGGGCAAAGTCATCAAGGAGGTGGGCAGCGCCTCTGGGCCGCTCAAGGTCCCCCGCACCTGCGCCAGCCCTAGTTTCCCGCCAGGACAGAATGAACGGGGACCCTAGTGCGCCCCAAACACCCATCCATCTAAAGGACGCTCCTCAGCCTCGCTGCCCCCGCCCTTTCTGTTCAGGGAGCGAGGCTTTCCGGTCCTTCCCTTGCTCAACTCGCGCCATAGAACAGTGTTGAGACTTGTCACAAGACCCATTCACTAGCAGCTGGCTGAGCACGCAATCTGCTCAGTAACGCCAGCCACATCGGAACGGAAATATTCTCCTTCTACCTAAGCGAATCAGTTCTCATTTTGTCTTCACCTCGTCAAATTCCCCCCACTCCAAATTCCACATTCTAAATAATCAATATGAAACAAATCAAATCAACTATGCCCAGGGGCCTTTAAGAAAATTCTATTCAAAGAGTGTGGGGAGGGGATACAGAGGTGAGCGCCCAGGCACCCGAAGTTCAACCCAGTCTTGATCTTGTGAAGTGTGGGTGGCTGGGGGAGGAGGTAGTATCAGGTTTAAGAGAAGACAAAGTCACATCAAGGGCACGGAAGCCCAAAGGGCCTCACATTTTGCTTAGGGACTAATGTGACCAGAAGTCAAGCGGGAGAGGGCTTGAAGGAATGAGGAGAGGCGGAAGTTCAGAGGCCATGGGAACCCCGGAGACTGCAAATTGTGTGTACTTTCAAAATTTTATTTAAAAGAAGGTGAAAAATCCCTCAGTATTTAGGCGGATAATTTCGCCCTAGTTGAATCTGAAATGTATACGTAGGGCCGAGGTGGAGCTTGGCCTGGGCCTCCGGACGCACTTCCTTTACCTGCATTTAAGCTGATGTCTGACTTCAGCGTCCCTCTCCCCTGACTTGGAACCCAGCAAGTGCTTCATTTTCCCGCAACCTAAGGCCAGCTCCCGCTTTGAGAAAATATTCTTCCTCAGCTCCCTCCCCCTAGATTTCCTGAAGTGGGTGCCAGCCTTGGAGTCCCTGCTCCCAGCTGGCCGCGTCCTAGTCTGCCCTAGCCCGAGCTGGCTAAGAGAATCTCTCCAATGGACATTCTTGTTCCAAAGGCAGTTTTGGACACGTTTATAATCGCAGCTTCAGATAACTGACCCTAGACGCCTGGTAGGTCCCTCACAGTCATCTCTAAGCAGTCAGAGAAAGCGGAGAGGCCTCCGCTGTTAATAACAAAACATCTCAATTAGCACACGTTTTCATTAAAGAAAGAAATTTCTTTCATAAAGTATAAATTCACTTTAAGAAACAAAAACTCAACCGCACCTCTCGTGGGATTACAGCGAAAACCTGGGGTGTGGAGGAGGGGGTGTTGAGGGTTTTCAGACCCCCCCAAACTGCTGAACTTGAGTGTTCAGCTCAAACTGCGATCTGTCTCCCTCATTGGTCTGTTTCCTCCCCTTCTAGAAAGCCAAATTCAACTGGGACCCTGAAACCGTGGGGATGATCCACGGCTCCTTCTTTTGGGGTTACATCATCACCCAGATTCCAGGCGGCTACATTGCTTCTCGGCTGGCAGCCAACAGGTAACGCGCCGGCCGTGGGCTCGGGGTACCAGGCTCGGTCCCTCAAAGGAGCGGTGGGGCCTGCGGGGCGGCGACGACAGCCCCGGGGCTTGGAGAAGGGAAGGCTGGTGTCCTTTCGCGAGGGCATCCAGAAGAATCAATCGGTGTTGTGCGAGGAAGGACGCAGTGGAACCCTATGCGGGGTTGTGGGTAAGGGGTGGGAAGCAGAAACCACCAGGCCAAGAGGACAAAGGGGTGCGGGCGTCAGGTACTGTGCTCCATCCCCTCCCCAGACATCGGAGCCTCTCGCAGGGTCCCCGCGGTGCTGACCTGGTGGCAGGGCGCTAAGATGCCCGCCCACAAAGGCCTCAGGTCACCACAGCTGGTTTCTATGGAGGCCTGGATCGTGCTGCCTGGGGCGCGACTCCACCTGTTAATGAGCTCTTACTAGAAGGGGCGAGGTGAGGGTGGTTGGCGTTCTGCTAGAGGGAGGCCTAGGCCTCAGGCTCAGTGCAGGGTCTGCAGCCAGCCCTGGTCCTAGCGCCAGCCCTCAAAGTGAGTGACCTCAGCGCCCTCTGCAGAGGCGACCCCCAAGCACCAAGGTTACGGGTTTATAGAGTGGGACATGCAGGGAGTTGGAAGCACACCCTGATGCCCAAAGGTGAAGGTCACTTTGGTTTCCATGTGCATATTTTGATGAACAAAAGTCAATGATCCAAAGGATGCAGGCAGGCATGCTTGTTTTTATTTTGTTGCTTATCATGACTTCACATCTTTCATCAGACCTTGAACCTGTGTCTTCATCTCCCAAAGTCACGTTTTAGAAGGAATGCTAGAATCTGATGCCTACTGGCCTTGTACACACTTCTTGCCTTTGTCATGTTGTCCCCTCTCCACTGCACTGAAATCTCCAGGGAATCCTGTCCCCAGGCTTTTGTCATTTGTAGTCCCTTTTACCAGTAAAAGAAAGTCTCTTCTTAGCTTCTAGGGTCTTGAGAGGATTTCTTGGAAGTGTATCTTAGTTTAGGGTTTCTGTGCTTGTTAGGTTACATTGAGTCACTTCTGATTCATTGTAAGTGCTTTCAGAGTGGGTTTGAACACTGAGATTCCTATATAAAATAAAAGGGATAAAACCAACCCATTCCTGAACCAGCCTCACAATCTCCCTAAATTTGATCTCTTTGGTGTAGCCCCTGGGTCAATCCACCTCGCTGAGGGCTCCCTCTTCATGTGATCCTCTACTCTGCCAAATATAATGTGTTTCTCTAGAGTCCAAAGTCTCTAAGACCAGTGTCCCTGTCCTCTTTGCTGAGAAGCATCCGCACTTTGTTTTTTCCAATGGCTCGTGTTCTTTCTTTCTGGTAGCCCATGGCATGTTCAATATCTCCTCTGATACTATGATGTAAGTTAGGTAGTGCAGGTGGTCTAGTGGTAAGGAGTTATACTGCCAGCCCAAAGGCACCCAGTTTGAGTCCACTAACTGCTCCAACGGAGAAAAGTGGGCAGTCTCCTCCCTTGCAGTCTACAGCCTCTGAAAACCCACTGGAGGGTCAGCTCTGAGTTGGTTCTAACTCCACAGTGTACCAATTGTTTATGTACCAATTTTTTTTATCTTTCTTATTCATTGCTCAGTTTTTGCACACATATAAGGCCATTGAAAAGTAACTTAGAATATTACTTTACTTAATAGTAGAGACGTCAACTGTTCAGACTTAGCAGGTGATAAGATATACTTAGGGAGTCCTGGTGGCCTTGTGATAAGAATCTGCACTGCAATCCCAAAGCCATACAATTCTAATCCTCCAGCTGCTCTGCAGGAGAAGGGTGGCTAATTTCATCCCATGCAATTACTGCCTCTGAAAACCTGCTGGAGGGTCAGCTATAGGTTAGTTCTGTCTCAATGTTATACAACTACAATAACAAACTATAACTGAGAAAAGGAATTAGATAAATATTATGAACTATATGGAGAAACCAATTTTATGAATAGAATGAATCAAAGAAAAAATTATATTAAAATTATTCTTATATTTTTATTGATAAAGGACATATTGATTTTTTTGGGAGGTTTCAAATTCCTAAGAATAGAGTCTTAGATATCTCCCACTTCCACACTTGAGGAAAATTATTATTTTTAAAAAATAAAATAAGCATCCATCTTCTAAGAAGATAGTCCAAACTTACATACATAAATAGTTTAAAAGGAAAAAACAAAAATACACACACATACACATACACACACGTATACTAGTCAAAATTAATTGCTGTTGATTTGAAACCAACTCATAGCTGACCCTCAAGTAGGTTTTTAAAGGCTGTGAATGACAAAGGAGGAGGTTTCCAATCTTCTAAGGAGCAGCTGGTGGATTTGAATTATCCACTTCTGAGTTGATAGCACACCACCTTACTACTTAGGCTTTGAGTCAAAACTGACCCATAGCTGACCCTCCAGCAGGTTTTCAGTGGTGGCTGTTAATTTCATAGAAGGAGGTTGCTCATCTTTTTCCCTCAGAGCAGCTGACAGATTCAAACCACATGTCTTTGGGATTGCAGTACAGTTTCTTACCACTAGGCCACCAGAGCTCCCTACTAAGCTACCATAGTTTATATAAATATACATTTATATATGGAACTCTGATGGCCTGGTGGCCTAATTGGTACGGGGCTACCCTGTCAATCTAAGGTGGATGATATGAACCCACCAGCTGCTCCTCAGGATAAAGATGGGCAATGACCTCTTGTACTGTATTTATGCCTCTGCAAACCCACTGGAGGGTCAACTATGAGCTATTCTGGCATGAGGACACATAACATCACTGACATATGTTTGTCTATTTATATATAAAAAAGAAACTCAATATTGTGTGAAATGAAAATATAGTGGTTGTGTTTGTAAATCTTTAGTTAAAGGCTTAAAATAGGACAACAAAGCAAAATTGGAACAGACTCTATTTTTTTTAAATTTGGCTAATATAATTAACTCCTTCATAAACCTGAGATGAGAGAGTGGGGTATTTTCAGGACCATGGAGAGTGGCATACATTCAAAGTGGCTGTGACTGCCATCTTTGAGTGGAGCACCTTTGTTTCTGACTTGACTAGTCAAAATGTGGTTGTTATGCAATATGCCAGCTGTCCTTCCTTTTTAAAAGTGAGATTGAATTTTTAGCAGCATATCACCTGCAATTTTTTAGTCAGGTTAGTGTTCCTATTCATCCACATTTTACAAATGTTAGTTTGTCCTTCGTTGGTTCATTGACCATGACTGAACCAGGAAGAATTGGTTCAAAGCCCACTTTCTCAGAGTCAAAACCTTAAGCTTGCCAAGTGTTAAAAGCTGATATTTTTCTTCCAGGAAAACACAACAGGGGTGCCCCAGTTTTACCTAGTGTAAAATGAAGAGGTCAAAAACCAGAATTTTCTGGTCTTCTAAAAAACATTGAAGTACATTGATATAATTTGTATACCAAAATATCAAATAACTCAAGTTACAATATAATTTATAGATTTTCCTCAAGGGAAAAAATTGTGACTTTAGAATTTTCATTGGGATCCAAGTTTTTGTAGTATGCATAGGAAGAAAGTTTAATATTTCTACATAGAACATCTTGTGTTTTACAAAGGTAAGAAGATTAAGTGAAATATTATGAGCACACTAAAAATTATTGAATGTAACTTTATAACATTTGAAAATATTGACATATTTGTTTTTTCATACAATGTACATTAAAAATACAGCTGAAAATAGATTTAAAAATTTTTTATACATTTGTTTTTCTGGTTATGATTGCATTATACACTAAGCAAGAAACCATATATAGAAAAGGAAGGATAATAATCATAAATAATTTTAAATAATTTAATCATTATCATATTGGTAAATTCGCTGTTAGGCTTAGAAAAGCTTCCAACAATTTCTCTTAAGAGATTTACTTTACCTCAGAATTTGAATTATTTTTAGAATTGACTTGAAAGATGTATACTTGCTATTGTATTATGATAGTTAAAAAAATATCAAAAGGAACCCAGCAAGAGCAGTTTTCTTCTTACAGGAATTGTGTGCCCATTCAAATAAGCTTCTCTCTATAGATCATCTAATAGTAGAACAAGAGTTCCCTTGAGTCCAGTGGGGAAGGATTCCTTTTCCTCTAGGTGTAGAAGCTCCCATTGAAAGTGTTTGCCATGGAATCATCATTACGTCCAGAACTAGAATAGAGGAACAACTGAGATGCTTAGAGACAGTTCCTCAAGGGAGAAGTACTCTGGGTTATACTTCCTATCCAATTTCTGAATGAAAAACAAACAGCAATGATTTGGCTTCTCTTTCTTACTGCTTAATCAAATATATGTAACCTCACTCTTTGTCACAATACACATTCTTGGTCCTCTTTTATGTACTCTTGCTATTTTGCTCATGGCAAGAGGAGATGGTAGACCAGTGGAGTAAGTTAATTCTCTCTCTAATGAGATTTATGGCACCATTTTTCCTTTTGTTTTTAAAAAGAGCTATTGCATTCCATAGGCAGGAAAAACTTAGTTACACCCATGGAGAGCTTTGGGATGGAATTAACAGAATCCTCACACATTCTGTAATGTTTTAAGATGAGAACATAGTTAATATAGTGAAACAAAGGTGGTTGGAACAAATGAGTTTTGCCTTTAAATAATATGGAGCCTAAAGCTAAAAGTAATGTGGACACTTACAAAGCTGAAATGGCTAAGAAATATTTTTTACTGTGTATGTAAAAATCTGTATGAAGTATGGACAAGTATTTAGTAAGAACTAGTAACAGAATACATACAAAGGGGTAGAATAAAGAATGTTGGTGCGCTGAAAAAAAATTGGGCAATATTCTGTTTATAATGCTTCACACTGTACACACACACACACACACACACACACACACACGTATTCCTACCCTGCCCTGTTTTCTTTATTTTTAGCTCTGCTTTAATCTTCTGTTTAGAACTTAACTCAACATTTTATATTAATTTTGTAATTGTTTGTCTAAGTTTTCCTTG